AACCAGAAGGCTTGCGGTTCAAACCCACCAGCCACTCCTTGGAAGGAAGGTTGGGCAATCTACTTCCGTAGTGATACTGCCTCGGAAACCCAAGGAGGTGTCACTATGAGTCAGGTCCGACTCGACAGCACATAACAACAACAGCTATTTTGAACTACCACACCCATTCTGATGCATACATTCTAATATATTCATTTTCACATCTCTTAGTACCTGGTGTTAAAAAATTACAAGTGTCTTAAATGATCTTACCTATTATCCTGAGATTTATAATATGTACTTTCTGCTGCATTTCCACCTTAGATCTTGACATTATTTACTCATTGGTCTTAAATCTTGACATTTAACTACAGAATTTATGGGGTGCAGGGCTATATCCAATCTTGTAAACCATCTGTGGTATTGTACTCTTGGATTCTGTGGGACTCTCACAATTCCTGGAAAATATACCGAGACTTCTGGTATGGATGCAGTGAACAAAATTCGAGCTGGGTCATGTAATACATTGTTGCTACTGGAGCTTACGACTAAACAGAATATGAGGAGCTCTGGTGGCAAAGTGCATAAGGTGTTTGTCTGCTAAACAGAAGGTGGGCGGTGCAAACTCACCAGCCACTTGGTCGGAAGAAGATGAGGCAATCTACTTCTGTAAAGCTTTACAGCCTTGGAAGCCCAGTGAGGGTCATTATGAGTCAGAATCAACTTGATGGCAGTGGATTTTTTTAGTTTAAGCAGAATATAGGAATTCTAGACATGAAAGAAAAAACACAGCAGAATAAACTGAATAATTACCTTAAAAATTATCAGAAAACATAAACTTGAAAAATTGCCCAATTTCAAAAAGCATATCTGTTGGCCCCAATACAACAAACTCACCACCCATGAGTCAATTCTGACTCATAGTGGCCCTATAGGGCAGAGTAAAACTGTCCCATAGGATTACCAAGGCTATAAATCTCTATGGAAGCGGGCTGCTACGTCTTACTCCAACAGAGTGGCTGGTGAGTTTGAACTACAACCTTGAGGATAGCAGCCAAGCACTTAACCACTGCACCACCATCTATTGGTAAACATATGTAAATGAATCGCAATGGGATATAAATTGTAAACTCTATGCAAATACATCATCTCTAGTGTAAAACACCTTATTACATAATTAATGTTTATAAAAGCTTCAATGTATTTGTTTTCCATGGTATTCATAAATTACTTAAATATATTGTGGTGAAATTTTCTTCTATATTCTCACTGCTACTGAGTCATATCCAACTCATAGTGACCCTTCCTTGGGTTTCTGAGGCAATATCACTATGGAAGTAGATTGTCCAATCTTCCTTCCAAGGAGTGGCTGGTGGGTTTGAATCACCAGCCTTCTGGTTAGCAGTCAAATGCCTTAAGCACTTCTTTTATATTATGTTTATATAAATATATATATTAACAAGGAGCTCTGGTGGCATAGTGCCTAAAGGCACTTGACTGCTAACCAAAAGGCTGGCAGTTCAAACCCACCAGCCACTCCTCAGAAGGAAGATGGGGCAATCTACTTTCGTAGTGATATTGCCTTGGAAACCCAAGGAGGGATCGCTATGAGTTGGGGCCAACATAACAACAACAACATATATTAACAGCATGACAGTTTAGAGCCACTTAAGATTTGTGCTTGGTGTGAAACTTACGCAAAATAAGAAAATATTTAGATTTTTCCCAAACTATTCCTTTTTCAATAACAAAACCTAGACAATGAAAAAGATATTTAATATGATATATACCCTGGGACATAACAATTTTAATCTTTTATTACTCTGAAAGTGAAAAGATAGTCAGAAAATTAAATTCTAAGACATTTAACAATATGATATAAACCTATGTCTTCTTTCTTATATATCTGGTAAAGCCATGTAAGATGAGATCTCACCTAAATTAAATTCTCATATAGGCCCATTCATTTCATATATAAACTGATAGTTACAAAGTTGTATTCAACAAAGAGTAATTGAGCATCTCCTATAAACAAAAGGTACATGGTAAAGAATTCAGAAGTATGGTGAATAATAATAATAAGTAACATTTACTAGGCTAAATACTTTACAAGCACTTTCCTAGAAGATTACCCCCTATGACATAGGTCTTATGAGTCTCCAGGTCTTAAAGGCCAAGTCACAGAAACTCAGAGATGTTAAAGAACTTGCCTAAGGTCACACAGCTACCAAGCAGTAGTTCTGGGATATGAATCAAACCAGAATAGGTCCAAAGCTTCCTAATATGATTAACAACTAAGTAATATTGCCTAACCCAGAAGGAAGTTTATAATCACTGGGACTTTAGGTGATCTTCAGTCCTATTAATAGTAAGAGCTTAACTTTTTTAAAAAATAATGCACCTATGCTTAGAGCAACTTATTATGAAATAGTTTGAAGAACATGAATGAGTATGCTTTTAACAAATTTACTGCCATTTTAATATATTTTTTCCAAAACAAGCTGAGAACATTTTTAATCTATACTAAAAATTGCCAGATAATGAGCAAAAAGGAAAAAGAAAATCTGACTTTGATAGATCAACAATTAAGTATTTTAGGGTTTCTTCATACGTTGTACTCAGAAGTACCCATGGTATATTAATTTTTTGAAAACTGCAATTGTAGACTGATTGGCCTTTAGACTCCTCAAAATGCTCTACTAAAAAGTCTACATATATTTTGTTTCTTGGTATTCTGATTTTGTTTAACAAAAAAAAAGGTCATCCAGTCAATTGGAAATCATACTGACCCATAGAACAGAGTTGCCCCATAGGAGTTTCAAGGCTGTAATCCTTTACCAAAGCAAGCTATCACATCATTCTCTTGCAGAGTGGCTGGTGGGTTCAAACTGCCAGCCTGTCCTTTAAGCAGCCTAGCGTTCAACCACTGTACCACCAGGGCTGCTATGATTTGGTAAAAAAAACCAAACCCATTGCCATCAAGTTGATTCCAACTCATAGTGAGCCTATAAGAGAGACTAGAACTGCCCCACAGAGTTTCCAAGGCTGTCAATCTTTACAGAAGCAGATGGCCTCACCTTTCTCCCAGAGTGGCTGGTTGGGTTCAACCTGCCACCTCTTGGTAAGCAGACAAATGCTTTAACCACTACTCCACCAAAGCTCCTTTTGATTTGGTAAAGTACTAGGGAAACAGATCTACTTATCAGCCCATTTTGTTGATGGAGTAACAACAGGTACTGTAAACATCAACACAAAAGGTGATTCCAAAGAGCAAAGTCCTTCTCTCCCATCCACAGGAAGGAGCTCTCCTTCAATGGCCAACGGCCTCTCTTTAGAGCCTGACTTCCAGGCTTCACTGCACATACAGAGAATAAAGTGTTAGAGAGATGTGAAAGCCTATTCTCCAGCCCACTCACACATATATGTACATATTTATAATACAGTTGACTTTTCTGATACCTAAGTATGTTGATTCGTAGGAGAATTATGAGTCAAGTTATCCCATGAGAAAGCTGTATCCATTCATACAAGTGTACTGAAAGGAACCAAGTGGATTCAGTATGCAAAGAACACTTCAAATTTGAAATGCTGCATCTAATTATGCTTTGCCTAAGACTCTGAACTCTATTTTTAAAAATCTCATTAGGGAATTTTCAAGCTTTTATGGCTCATCACATGCAAAGTAGGATAAAAGTACCATTTATTAAATGTTAGCTGGATATGTCTTCAGTATCTGTTCTCCTGGCTCCACATATGGTATTTTTGACTGTCTTTTTAAATTTATAGCTTACACAATTCGTTTTTTTTTCTTTAGAAAAATATTTCAAAAGATTTGTTTTCAAACTTAAAGAATATGCAATTGTGGCAAATACTTGTTATAGGATTTAGTCAGCATTATAACCAAAAAAAAAGAAAAAAAAAACACCACCACACCACCCCAAAGACAACAAAAGTTTTCTGAGCACCTACTACATGCAGGTAAGGAACATGTAGCATGCCAAGAAGATTAAATTTTTAAGGTGTGAAAAGATTTGGAAAGCAACAGACCAAACTTAAATATTTGTTATTAACAACTTCATAATTTATAGTTTCTAGAAAATCAAACAGAACGATTGCACAAGAGCATAGTTGAGATTTGAGAGTCTTTCCGTTACAGGAAGACTATAGCTCTCCAGCCAAACAACGCTTCGGTTCCCTCCTTCCTTCTTAATTCTTGTTTTCTAATTCATTCCACAAGATCCACGTTTTCTTTCATAACAATGCGTCCGAACGCATCTTTTCTTTTTTTAAACTATTCCTCTTTCCCTAAAACCCAGCACACCCACACGCACACACACACACACACACACACCCTCCTCTCGCGTGGGCACTTGCCTTCCAAAGCTGGGCGGGCCACCCCTCACCTGAAGAAAAGTTTGGAGATAGCGCTGGCCTTTTCCAGAGGCGACCTCTGCATGGTCTCGCGGGGCGCCGGGGTCCCTGCCGGGGCTGGCTAAGCTCAAGCTCCTAAAGGCCAAGTCGCCCTACTCCTCGCGGTGCCGGGAGCTCGCCCCTTTTTCTCTGACCTGCAGTGATGTCATTTGCTTCCGACTACCCCCACCCATCCCTACCCCACACACCTCCTCTTTCCTCTGCTCCTTTCCCCGCCTCTACTGTCCAGGTTAAAAGCCGAGGGCTGCCGGGTCCGGCCCCAAATTTGCTCGAGCTGCTTTCCCCACCCACTGCACACACTCGGCGTGCACCCCGACTGCTCCTTCCTTCTTGCCTCCCTCGCTCCCCGGCTGCCCCGCGCCTCCCTTGCCGGGTTCTACCTGCCGGCCTCCTCCCTGGCGTGCACGCCTGGCAGGTCCGAGTCCCTACAGGCTAGCCCTACCTGCTGGCGGGGGACAGTCACGGCCACTCTTCGGGTCCAGTCTCTCGCGCTCTTCAGAGCAGCCACCCGCAGGAGGGGACCCAGCCCCTCATCAAGGGTCCTGGACCCTCCAAGCGCCAGGTTCCGCGGGACCCAGGACCTGCCGCCGCCAGCTTCCCGCAGACTTCCTCTTCCTTTGTCCCGAGATCGTAGCCGTGTTCCTGTCACGTTTGCAAGGTGCATTTTGAAAAAAGAACAGAAGTGTGTCTCGTATATCAAAACGCAGCCTTTGAAAGCCGCAAAGTTGCTCTGCTGCGTCTTCTGTGTGCTCCTTAGCGCTTCCCTTAGGGGTGGGAGGAAAACCAAGTATTGTTAGCTTCAGGCTTAGGTGAGCTCCAAGGGTTGCATAAAATACCGGCCGTGGGGGGTGGTGTGGATTCTACAAGGAGGTGAGAGGAGACACTGCTTAATCCATTACTCACCCAGGATTTGTTCACTGTGTGTCCTAAATTTTTCAGTTCGTCTTGCGTTTTTAACGAAGGATTTTGTGTGCGTTAGCGACAAGACTAGTGAACACTGTGTAAATTAACCCGGCCACCTACGGATTTCCTAGTCTCAGTCAGCAAAACATCTTAACTAATCCACTGAAAAGAATCCTGACACTCTTTGAAGAGAATGTACTGGGTTAACTTTGACCTGACACAGAGAAACGCCATCTTCAACTCCCCCAGGGTATCTAGGTTTCCCAGGCTTGGGTGCCTTGGAGCTTTTGATGTGTGAATTGTGCGCACGTCTGATAGTCTTTAATGAACCAAGCCTTTAATTTCTGAACTCTTTGTATAGAAGCATTTGCACATTCAACTTGAACTCAAAAACTCAAATGAAAGTAAAAATTTTAACCTGATCATGTTA